AAAATAAGGTGCCCATAGGTAAGATATATACCTGATTATTTGTAGATTAAATAGGTCAGTAAGAGAGGAAGGGCGATTGATAGATAAAACAGGCATGCTCTTGATGTTTGTGAACCTGGGTTATGGATGCATGGAGACTAGTTATATTATTCTATGTTCTGCATATTTTGAAATTTCTGTAACAAAAACATTTTGCTAGTGAGAATAGTAATTGTAAAAAAAAAAGAGAATAGTAATTGTAGTTGTTTTAAGTATTAAATGAGATAATTCAAGTAGAAAGTTTAGCATGGGACTTGGCATAAGATTGAGTCATATCTTGTAGTAGACCCTTGCTGAGCATGTTTCTGGCATTATCTCATTACTATGTGAGATACTACATGGGATTATACTACACAGGCTGTTTTAGAAACTAATTTTTTTTTTAGGTCAACAATGTTTTGTCAATAAGTCATGAGGATAAAAGGTACAACACAGAATACAACACAGAATATAGTCAATGGTATTATAATAGTTGTATGGTGAAAGATGGTAGCTACACTTGTGAGCATAGCATAATGTATAGACTTGTTGAATCACTATATTGTACACCTAAAACTAGATGTATAATGTAACATTGTGTGCTGAGCCCTGTGCTTCTGAAAAGCACCAGTTAAGAAATCTCTCAAACTTTTGTTCGAGAGACAGTATAGTGTGGCATAGATAATGATGGCATTTCATTTACTGGAAGAAAGAATAGACAGACCTTTCAATGAATGGTGCTGGAAAGATTATCCAATCATTTGAGACAAATTTAGATCCTTTCTCTTATAAGATGTGAACTTTATTAAGAATAAGTTAGAGAGTATTAAAGGTAAAACATTAAGAAACAAAACATAAAACACAAAACTAAATGTTGTGAGTTGAATTGTGTCCTCCCCCTTCCCCTTCATACTTGAGACCCTGATGCCCAGTAACACCAGAATGTAACCTTTTTTGGAAATGGGATTGTAGATATAATCAAGTTAAGATGAGGTCATTAGGCTGGGTTCTAATCCAATAAATCTAGCTGTTCTAAGAGGAAATACCATATGAAGACAGATACACAGGAGAATTCAAGCCAAGAAATTGGATTGACAGCAACCAAAGGAAGCTAGGGAGAGTGAAGGAAGGATTCTACCCAAAGTCTCAGAAGGAACCAGCCTCTCTTGATAATGAACTTCTAGCCTCCAGACGGAGAAAATTAACCTCTATTTCTTACGTTTGTGGTACTTTGTTATGATAACCCTAGGAAACGAATGTAATTTCTGTCTTAAACATTTTATCATCCGCCATCACTTCATACCTATTAACAGTCACTCCACATTCCTTCCTCCCTCCATTTACTGTCAGGATATATTTTAATATCTTTAATACATGTTCTGTTTCTGTGAAGTGTCTTTTTTTGGACATTTCGTATAAATGGAATTATATTGTATTTTATAACTCTCTTTTTTTACTTAGTATTGCTTCAAAGTTTATCAGTTATGTAGCATATATCAACACATCATTCCTTTTATTGCCAGATATTCCACTATTTGGATATACTATACTTTTTTTTATCCATTGCAGTAGACCCTTGCTGTAGTGCAGTGGATAAAATGGACAGTTGATGGATATTTGTACCTTTCCCACTTTTGGCTCTTATGAATAACACTGCTATGAACACTTGTGTACAAGTTTTTGTGTAGATGTATATTTTCATTTCCCTTTGGTAGGCATCTGGGAATGGTATCACTGAGTGATATAGTAGCTCCATGTTTAAAGTTTTGAGGAGCTACCAAACTGTTTTCCAAAGTGACCACGCCATTTTATGAGCCTACCAGCAGTGCATGAGGATTCCAATTCCCCACATTCTGATGGCTTCTTTTTTTTTTTTTTAAAGATTTATTTATTTATTCATTCAGAGAGAGCGAAGAGAGAGGCAGAGACACAGGCAGAGGGAGAAGCAGGCTCCATGCAGGAAGCCCGATGTGGGACTTGATCCTGGGTCTCCAGGATCACACCCCGGGCTGCAGGCAGCGCTAAACCGCTGCGCCAAACCGCTGCGCCACCGGGGCTGCCCCTCTGATGGCTTCTTATCTTATTCAAAGTAAGAGCCAATGTTCTTCCTTGTACTAAATGGACCAATATTGTATTAGGTCTTCCAGAGAAACAATGATAGGATATGTGTAATTAATTAATTAATTAATTAGTTGGCTCATTTGGTTATAGAGGCTGAGAAGTCCCATGATCTGCCATCTGCAAGCTGGAGAACTCGTAAGGTTGGCAGTATAATTCAGTTCTACATGTGAAGGCCCAAGAGCCATGGAAGCCAATGGCTGAAAGCCTGAGAAGGGAGGAGTGATATGCTGGAGGAAGTCCTAAAGTCTGAAGACCTATGAACCAGAAGCTTAGATGTCTGAGGACAAGAGAAATTGGATGTCTCAGCTCAAGAAGAAAGAGAATTCATACTCCCTCCACTTTTTTGTTCAACTGAGCTTTCAGTGGATTGGATTATGTCTGCCCATGTTGGTAAAGGTAGATCTTCTTTACTCAGTCTATTGATTCAAATGCTAATCTTTCTTTTCTGGAAACATTCTCACAGACATACCCAGAATTAATGTTTTACCAGTTGTCTGGGCATCCCTTAGCCCAATCAAGTTGACATGTAAAATTAATCATCACAAACATGATCTAGCCTTTACCTGTCTTTAGTGTTTTAACTACATTGACCTTTTGCTGTTCCTCAAATCACACTCTGTAGTTGCTTTGTATCTGGTATTTTACCTGTCAGAAACTAACTTCCCACAGATATACTCCTTGTTACTTCACTTCCTTCTGACTTCTGCACAAATGATCTCTTATCAAAGGGGCCAGTCCTTACAGCTCTATTTTTTTTAATTTAAATTTAATTTGCCAACATATAGTATAATACCCAGTGCTCATCACATCATGTGCTCTTCTTAATGCCCATCACCCAGTTACCCTATCCTTCCACATCCACCTCCACTTCTGTAACCCTTTGTTTGTTTCTCAGAGTCAGGAGTCTCTCATGATTTGTTTTCCTCTCTAATTTTTCCCTCCTCAGTTCCCCACCTTCCCTTATGGTCCCTTTCACTATTTCTTATAGTCCACATATGAGTGAAACCATATGATAATTGTCTTTCTCCAGTTGACTTATTCACTCAAAATAATACCCTCCAGTTCCATCCTGGTTGATGTAAATAGTAGGTATTCATCCTTTCTGATAGCTGAGTAATATTCCAGTGTGTGTGTGTGTGTGTGTGTGTGTGTGTATACCACATCTTCTATATCCATTCATCTATCAAAGGAGATCTTGGCTCCTACCACAGTTTGGCTATTGTGGATATATTTTTTTAAAGATTTTATTTATTTATTCATGACACACACACACACACACACACACACACAGCAGCAGCAGCAGAGACACAGGCAGAGGGAGAAGCAGGCTCGCTGCAGAAAGGGACTTGATCCCGGGACTCCACACCCTGGGCTCCACACCCTGGGCTCCACATCCTGGGACGCTCAATTGCTGAGCCACCCAGGCGTCCCTATTGTGGACATTTTTAAAGCTCTATATTAAATAAGAATCCTTTTCTCTACTTTTTATCCTGATTTTGTTGAATCTCTCTTTTTCGGATGTCCATTTGAATGTAAGATCTTTGAGGGGAGGGACATTATTTGTTTTGTTCACTGCCTTAAAGAGAAATAATATGACACCTTTTGAAACTTGCAAAGAAGACTTTATTCAATACTTTATTGCACTGCAATATGGAAGAGAACTTGGATTTAACTCCCAATACAACATGGACAAGTGGGGATTTATAGCCAGCTGACAGGGTGAGGGAGTAAATGGAAAATGACTATGAAGAAATTGGTTAGATATCAAGGTGGGGGGAGGGAGAGTGTAATATCAAGGGTGGGGAAAGAAGAGCTTGATTGATTCCAAGGGTTGGGGAATTCTTGAACTGGCTTAGTAGGATTCTTTGCTAAAATTGGGCTCACTAAAGAAAAGACAAGGCCTTCTAGAAGAGGATTCAGAGGATCCTGGCCAAAGTTTGGTTAAGGAGGGAGTCCTTGTCAAGTGCTCTAGCCTTACCATCTAGAATAGTCAGTGGCATTTAGAAGGGCACTGGTTAATCACTGTTAATCTGGTGAATAAGTGTCCCCTTTTGAGGGATAGTCTTTTAAATAAAAAGTCCTAATTGAACAAAAGAGATACATTTTCCTTCCTTAGTTGTCCAATTCCTGGAGCTTATAAGTAGGATTTTTTTTCGAGATATTTACACATTTTTCAAAAATGGATTTAATCTTCTTGCATCTTCTATGTCAACAAACAGAAAATCTATAGTATTTTGGGTGCTCTTTTTTTTTTTTTTAACGATTTTATTTATTTATTTGACAGCACAAGCAGGGGGGAATGGCAGGCAGAGGGAGACGGCAAAGCAGGCTCCCCACTGAGCAAGGAATGCGTGCTCCATGCCAGGGCCCTGGGATCAGGACCTGAGTGGAAGGCACACACTTAACCTGACAGCCACCCAGGCATCCTGGGTGCTCTGCTTTTCTAATATGCATTTTCTTTGCTTAAAATAAAAATGAGATAACTTGGAAACAAGCGAACAAATCAATCATAAACAGCTGCCCCAAAGAAACATAAACCATATCTCACAGATTTGCATGTTTCTAGCGTTGGATGCCGCCAATCTTGGCTGCACACTAGAATCACCTGGGAGCTTCAAAAAAAATCCCGATGCCAGGACTACACCCAGAGCATTAACCCAGAATCTCTGGAGCTGTGACCAAGGCCCAATTACTTTTCAAAGCTCCCCCGCCCCGCCACGAATGATAAGCGTAGGAGGAGACCCGGAGACCCTGAGACCGCCTGGGCAGCACCCCGGACTACATTTCCCAGAGGCGCCGGCAGCCGCTTCCGTTTCCGGCCCCGCTGGCCTCCGTGTGAGTAAAGCGAGGCTCCTGCGAGCTCGTGGGTCTCGGCGGCCAGTACCTTGGGTGGTCGCAGTTGTTGGGCGCGCGCAGCCTCGCCACGCAGCCCGCCCAGCTCGGTTCTGAAGTTGCCGCCACCGAGCTGGGGCACTGAGACCTGGTGCGCCCCTGTGTTCCCCAGGGGTCCGGCCGAGGAAGGAGCCGGTTTAGGAGGCTCAGGAGGGGACGGGCAGATGTGGCTGGGGCCCCACCCCGAGGAGCCGTGCCCCAGCCGTGCCCGAGCGAGTGACCGCCCGAATCTGGCGCCTGACAGAAAGTTTAAAGGCTTCCACTGAGGCCCGGAGATGGAGTCGCTGACGAGACTTTCCCCCTGTGTTGGCGAGGGTGCCAGACTGACTGACTGACTGACTGACTGACTGACTGACAGAGCTTGGCCTGGAGCTTCCTGCGGGGCCGACCTGAACCACCTGCCTGTGTCCGCCCTCCTTTGTGGGGAGCAGGGAGGGTGGAGGACTGCTCTTGTCCAGCCTGCAGAGAGCAAGTTCTAGCTAGTTTAGGACATGGAGGGACTTCCTCATATTTCCTTTCTTCTTTCCCAGATTGGCTTATTCAGGATTCTTTGCCCTTGCCTGGGAGAACAGTTCAGGAGACAGATGGCCCCAAGACTACCAAGAGCCCAGATCCAGGCAAGTTTGATTTCAACTTTCCCCGAGAAATTGCCACCGTTTCAAAGTGAAGTTGGGTTTATACTTCTTGCCTGAAGATCCTCTGCCCTGTGTTGGGACCAAGTTAAGTTGCCTAAGCCAGTCCTGGATTATGCAGCTTTACAGAGAAAGGACATCTCTCCCCACTGTTGTCCCTTCGTGTCCTCTTTGCCCATTTTTTTTTTTTTTGGTTTTTATTTTTGTTTTTTAAGGCTTTTATTTATTTATTTATTCATGAGAGACACAGAGAGAGGCAGACATAGGCAGAGGGAGACACAGGCATACCCAGGACCCGGACATCAGGACCTGAGCCAAAGGCCAGGTGTCCCCACATTTTTTGTTTTTAAAGATTTTATTTATTTGAGAGAAAGAAACAGAGATAGTGACTGAAATCGCACAAGTGTGGAGAAGAGGGAGATGCAGGGTCCTGGTACCCACTGAGCAGGGAGTCCTATGTGGGGCTCAATCCCAGGGTCCTGGAACCATGACCTGAGCCAAAGGCAGACGCTTAACCAGCTTAAACCACCCAGGTGCCCCAAGTCCTCTCTACCCATTACAGTTGTTCACTGAATAGACTTTTGCTACCCATGATTTATAGAGTGCTAGAAACTGAAGAATACTTTGTAGGTAAAGTATAGCGCTCGCCTCAAAGGGGTCGCCAACTCGAAGATGAGAAACAGGCTCATTTATCATATAAGGAGAGGCCCTAGTGTCTGAGTGATAACACACGGCACAGTGATAATAGTGCTCTTGATGTTCATGGTGAGGGGAGGGTGGTAGTAGTGGTGGTAATCCTCTTAGTTCTTCCCAAAGATTAAATGAAGCTTGCATAATTGCAGAGGATGGGGTGACTAGGTGAAGGCTACAACATGAGTGAAGCTATCACATCTGAAACAGGAACAAACTGGGCCCAGAGAAATTGGGAAACATTCAGAGTTTAGAATGCCAAGCTAGAGTTTGCCTTTGTCTTGCAGAAAACTGGGTTTTGAAGGATTTTGAGAAGTTAACAGGAGTAATATGTATTTGAGTATTATAAAAATTAAGAGTAACAGAAAGTTTAAAAAATTAAAGATTACCCATGTTCCTATCGCACAAATTATTTCATTTCAAACACTTATGCGTATGTATTTTTTAGTTTTATCCATTTTCTTCCTTTTGATTTGTCATAGCCATGTCTTCCAAATTGCTCTAGTCTCATTACCATTTTTTTATAGCTTCTTTTCATACTGTAGTCAAGCAGCTCAGTGACTTTGAACAAGTTTTTGAACTCTCTGAGCCGGAGTATCTTTAGCTATAAAATTGGTTTACTTTATGGATAGTCCTGGTGAAAGTTCAGATAAATGTTATATATAATGGGGCTTAGCACTGTGCCTGGTACATATTAAGTTGCTATTGCTGTGAAAGGCAATTGACAAATATGCGCCAGGCATAATTTTAGGCTGGTGAGACAGCAGTGACACAGGTGGTCCCTAACCTCTTGGAGCTCACATTATAGATAATACTGACAATAGATCTGATTCTGCCAGATAGTGAGAAATCCTGTGAAGAAAGTGAAGTGGGGGACTCCTAGGTGGCTTAGCGGTTGAGCGTCTACCTCTGGCTCAGGTCATGATCCTGGGATCTGGGATCGAGTTCCACATCGGGCTCCCTGCATGGAGCCTGTTTCTCCCTCTGCCTGTGTCTCTGCGTCTCTCTGTCTCTCATGAATAAATAAATACAATCCTAAAAAAAAAAAAAAAAAAAAAAAGAAAGTGAAGTGGGTCATGAGATAGAGAGTGGTGGAGAATGGGAGAAGAGAAAAAAGAACTTTCTGATGAGGTAACATTTATGCAAAGACCTACAAAGTGAGAGATGAGCAAATGCCAGGCCCAGAGGAGGGAGCATGATTGGTGTGTTGGAAGAGCATAAGGAGGGCAGTGTGGTTGAAATGAGGGGCCACGACCTCCCCTTATTCCTAGCTTCATTTTCTAGCTTCTTTTAATGTTTTGTTCCTGTGTGGCAAGTCTGCTTTCTTGTTGTGTAGCATGTTGTATATTTTATTCCTTGAGCCTTTCATTAATTGTGTTCCACTTCCCTCTGCATAAACAATCTGAAATATCAGAAGCTGGCCTTGAATATGTTGCTTTTCTTTTCCAGTGAGGACTTCTTGGTTCCTTACTTCAGGGTCAAGGGTGTAAACAGTTCCCGGATGAGCAGAATTGGATTTGATTTTGCAGGGATCACTGACATTTGGGGATGTGGCTGTGGCCTTTACCCAGTTTGAATGGAAATACTTGGATGCCACTCAGCGGGCCCTGTACAAAGATGTGATGCTGGAAAACTATGGGAATCTGCTGTCTGTGGGTAAGGATGTCTTTTTAACTCAAGATTGATTTCCTGGGCAACTATGGGTTTTCACAGGATATATGGGGTATTTGAAAATTGTAAATGGGAGATTTTGTTTGTTTTTAGTGTAGGCTTAGAGGCTGGAGTTACTGCTCATTCTGTCCCTCAGAAAGTCAGAGCCTTACAGAGTTTAGGATGGCTGCTTTGTGTGCCGTCTAGCCCAGTTCTCTAAATTTTCCCTGTATATATCTGTAACTACATGATTTGGACACCCTGATACCACTCTCTAGGCCTCCCTGACGTGGAGATCTCCCTGAGGTTTGGGATAACTCTTGTGTTCACCAGCACAATCACATTTCTTTTTCTTTATCTACAATAGGATTTCTCTCTTACAAACCCAAACTAATCACCCAGTTGGAGCAAGGGGCAGAGCCATGGATGGAAGTACAACAGATCCCATCAGATAATTATTCAGGTGAGTGAGTTGGGAACCATTTCAAGCAGTAGCTGAGCACAGTGAATGTTGAGGGATTCTTGGTCAGAAGGCCCATCTTAGAGTGCCCATCTCTGGGCAAGCAGGGCTGGGGCACTTGATACCAGTTTCCTCTTTTTAATGTCATTGTTTTGCCAAATGACTTACAGTTTTTCTCTTCATTCCTATGGAGAGCTGCTCCCTTCTTGAGGGCCTTAGGCCCATGACATCTCACTCTGAAAATCCTCAGTCTCCTTGTGTGCTTTTGCCCCTTCCTGTTTTCAGGCACTTGTCAGTGCCTATACTTTATTTCTATCCATTCTCGATTCTTTTCAAATTCTCTCCTCGTTAGCTTAATAGATGACTACATAGGGATGTCTGGGTGGCTCAGTGGTTGAGCATCTGCCTTCGGCTCAGGGTGTGATCCTGGAGACCTAGGATCAAGTCCTGCATCAAGCTCCCTGCATGGAGCCCACTTCTCCCTCTGCGTATGTTTCTGCCTCTCTCTCTGGGTCTCACATGAATAAATAAATGAATTCTTTTTTTTTAATAAATAAAATCTTTAAAAAAATAAATGACTACATATCCCTTTCTAGCTTTAATATCCATTATCTCTAATCATATTGTAACAGTGGGAGATTCCAAGGGTAAGCATAGTTTCCTGACTATCAGATAATTACTATTTTTGGCTAACAAACTGATGAGGAAGCATTTACTTCCCTTTTCTTGTGGTCTTTTTAAATTTCTTTTCTCTGTAATTCTTTGCACTTGGCTCTCATTTTTTTCTACATATACTTTTGCATGAATTTTCTGTATGTCTCTTTGTGTCATAATTTCAAAATCTTTAAACATAGGTGTTTTTCTCACCTAAAATATTTATCCTACCAGTTTTCCTTTCTTTTTTTTTTCCCATTATTCCTTTCTTAAAAAACTGTTATTTTGATTATATCATCCTCAGAGAAACTTTTATAACTGTATTTCATGGAAGATACCAATAATACATAATTTGTTTAAACTAGGTTTTTGGTTTTATTTTGCTTTTAATACTTTTCAGTAATTCTTTTTGTTCTTACTATGGTTAACTTTTTTCCCCAAAATTTTTGTGTAGATTTTTTTTTTTTAAGATTCTATTTATTCATTTGAGAGAGAGAGCGAGAGAGCGAGAGAGAGCATGAGCAGGGAAGGGTAGAGGGAGAGGGACAAGCAGAAGGGCAGAAGGGAAGGGCAGAGGGAGAGGGACAAGCAGACTCCCTGCCGAGCAGGGAGCCTGACTCCTGGCTGATCCCCCGACCCTGAGATCATGACCTGAGCCGAAGGCAGACGCTTAACCCACTGAACCACCAGGTGCCCCTATGAAGATTCTTTATAGAGTAACAGTAGTAACTCATTCTTTTTTGTTCTTTGTTCTTTCTGTTTTAATTTTGGTATTTTTTGATAGAAGGTGTTTAGAATTTAGACGTAGTAAAAGCTAACAATGTTTCCTTTGACATTTCTTCCATCCATTTGGAAGACTAATAAATCTTTATTCAAAGATTTACAATCATTCCATGTTTTACACTTCCCACTCCTTTTTTTGCATATTCAAAAATCCAATTAGTTTTTAGAAGTGCATATGGTACAAAATTCAGATGGTTCAAATGGTATGTACCCTGCTTCACATACCAGTTCCTCTTCCTAGAGGCATCTTTGTGTAAATTTATTGTGGAAATTTCCAGATATAATGTATGCTTTGCAAGAATATACATGTATTCCTTTTTTTTTAAGTACATGGTAGTACATTATTCTAAATCTTGCTCTTGTCATATTTTGGGAATCATTTCAAATACCTACATCATTTAGAGTACTGTTTTACTTTTTTTTTTGTGCTGTTTTACTGTTTAATGGCTATATAGTGTTCCATTTTATGGATGTACTGTAACTTATGTAATTAGTTCCCTATTAATGGACAAAATAACTATGAATAATGATGCAATGATTTTGATACACATATCAATTCTCTGAAGTACCAGTATATCTATAGGATAAATTCTAGAAAAAGAATTTTAGGTGAAAGGGTAAATAAATTTTTGAAAATAGTGGATAATACCAGTATCCATACATTTATACTCCTATTGACAATGTATGAATGCCAGTCTGATCATACGTTGTCAACAGTCTTATACTTTTTGATAATTGCCAATCTGATAGTTAAAAACTTTTATTGTAATTTTATTTTTTTATTTTTATTTTTTTATTTTATTTATGATAGAGAGAGAGAGAGAGGGGGGCAGAGACACAGGCAGAGGGAGAAGCAGGCAGAGGGAGAAGCAGGCTCCATGCTGGGAGCCCGACGTGGGATTCCATCCCGGGTCTCCAGGATCGCGCCCTGGGCCAAAGGCAGGCGCCAAACCGCTGCGCCACCCAGGGATCCCCTTATTGTGATTTTAATTTGGATTTTTTTTTTTTAATCAGGAGTATACTTCCTGTATTTTTTTAAAGTTTGTTTTATTTTTGTATTTTTTTTTAAAGACTTTGTTTATTCATGAGAGACACAGAGAGAGAGAGGCAGAGGCAGAGACAGAGGCAGAGAGAGAAGCAGGCTCCATGCAGGGAGCCCAATGTGGGACTCGATCCCAAGACTCCAGGATCACGCCCTGGGCCGAAGGCAGACACTCAACCACTGAGCCACCCAGGCATCCTTTAATTCGTATTTTTAAATTGAATACTACGTAGCCAGCACTCAGGTCAAGGAAGAGAACACTGGCAATACTACTAAATCACATGTTGATCCTTCCCAGTAATTAGCAATCCCCCCCTCCCTCCCTCAATCTAACACTAAAGTTTATTTGACCACTGTAATTCATTGTCCTTGCTGTGGATCAAAGATTCTTAAAACTTTAGCCTGCATCAGAATGCATACTTAAGTACAATTAGAAGGCCCTTCCCTCAGGGTTTTTTATTCAGTAGGTTTGGAGTGTGAACTGAAAATCCCCGGTGGGGATCACACCCTGAGTGAAAGGCAGATGCTCAACCACTGAGCCACTCAGGTGCCCCTGTGTGGATACATTTCTTTTGGGCATATACCCAGGAGTAGAATTTTTATTTTATGGGAAATGCACATATTAGTACATAATGCCAAATGGTTTTTCAAAAGTTTGTGCCATTTATATTTCTACCATCAGTGTGTGAGACTACTCATTTTTCCATATTTAGCAATGTTTGGTAATGCCAGTCTTTTGAAGCTAGGCATTCTTTGTGTGTGTTGTGTATCTCATTGTGGTTTTAATATACTTATCCCTTATATCTAATGAGGTTGAGGACATTTAAAAATGTTTATTAAACATTATATATCATCTTTCATGAAATATCTGTTCAGAGAACACTTTGTGGGTTACATATGCAGTCTCACCATTCTTTCTGTGCTTTGCTTTTCACTATTAGTGGTCTTTTGATGAATAGAAATTCTTAATTTTAATGATCGCTAGTTAATCTTTTTCCCTTTCTTGTCAGTGCTTTTTGTATCCTTTTTAATAAATCCTTTCTTCAAGTTCCTAAAAACATTCTTTTGTGTTAACTTCTAGACATTTTATTGTTTGTTTTTTACTTTTAGATTTTTGAAAAAAATATTTTATTTATTTGAGAGTGAGAGCAAGTGAGAGAGGAGAGCATGAGCAAGGTAGGGAGAGGGAGAAACAGACTCGCCTGCTGAGCAGGGAGCTCGACATGGGGTTTGATCCCAGGACCCTGGGATCATGACCTGAGCTGAAGGCAGGTAGGTGCTCAACTGACTGAGCCACCCAGCACCCCTATTATTAGATTTATCATCCTCTTAGAGTTGATTTTTGTGTATGGCAAGAGGTAGGGTTCATGTTTAACCACCCCCCACATCTTACAAGTGCTAATGTCGTTTTCTTTTCCTTATTGCTCTGTAAGCTACCTTTGTCATAGTACAAGTGTGCATATGCCTGCATTTCTCTTCATATGGCTAGTTTGCCTCCACCTACCTTAACAACTAGTAGTATCTTGAAATTTTCTCTATTTTAACCATTATGCACTAAATGTATATCCCATCAAAGGCCATTTGAAAGATCTGGGCTGTTTCTCACCCAGCTTCACTTGAATTGTTCTAAAAAAATAAGTCTTAGCTCTAGTATCTGATATATGGAATCTCTCCCCAGGCTAATAAATATAAATAATAAAAGATATAAATATATGTATATATAAGAAAAAATTCATTCAGTAAAAGAATTGGGCAATGTTTGCTTTATCACAGACTTGGCTCCATTAGTTTTTCAGAATTTACTTGTCAGAATCATCTTACCTATCCTATTTTCTCTTGGGTCTCATGTGTGTACTTTGTAAAAAAAATTGCCATTTGATTGGTATGTTCTTTTTAAGATATGTTTAAAAAATGTAGATTACAGAAAAATCTTTTGGCCTGGGAACTGTTTTGGTTCCTTAAATATTTTGTCTGTTTTTTCTCTGAGACATTAAATATTGGTTCTCTGTTAAATTCTCAGAGAGGGGCATCTAGGTGGCTCAGTTAGTTAGGCATCTGCCTTCGGCTCAGGTCATGATCCCAGGGTGCTGGAATCGAGCCTCATGTCAGGGTCCCTGCTCTGCGGGGAGCCTGCTTCTCCCTCTCCCTCTGCCTGATGCTCCCTCTCCTTGTGCTCTTTCTCTTTCTCAAATAAATAAATAAAATTTTTAAAAATAATTCTCAGAAAAAGCTAATCATAAATTTTTGAATACATTAAAATGTTCTCAAATGTACCACCCTATAAGAATCTGCACTAGCAATCGTGACTTGCTTTGGGATACATGGTTTTCTCTCTAGATATGTGTTTATTTTCATATTCTCATTTATTTTGGGGGATGTGTGTTTTCTGTGTTACCTGCCTAACTTGCCAACTTCTTAGATGCTCCTTGCATTCTTTAAATACAGTGTTTATTATATAATTCCTTCTATTTCTTTAGACTCTTACTTATTTTTATCTTTAGTGTTGCTATCTTTTCTTAGCAAGAATCAAAGTGGGGTGAATTAATTTTACACAATCCTTAGTTCTGTAGAATAGAAACTTATTTTTATCCTGTGCAGCTCTCACTTTTAGTATCTCAACATAGAAAATGTTTGAATTAATTAATTTTTTTTTTTTTTTTTTAGTTCAGGAGTACTGGTTTCAAACAAAGATGTCCACTATAAAGCAATGTACTTCTGAAGGATCTGGTCTGGGAGAGCAAAGAAAAAGTGTCATGATGGAAAGAGGCCTGGACTGGGAGGGCAGAAGTTCCACAGAGAAGATACATTATAAATGTGAGGAATGTGGGAAAGTCTTCAAATATAATTCCTCTTTTATTAGCCACCAGAGAAATCATACGGGTGAGAAACCCCATAAATGTAGTGAATGTGGAATAGCCTTTATGAGCAGCTCATCTCTTTTAAATCATCATAAAATTCACACAGGCAAGCAACCTTATAGATGTATTGAATGTGGGAAATTCCTTAAGAAGCACTCAACATTTGTTAATCATCAGAAAATTCATTCTAAAGAGAAACCTCATAAATGTAATGAATGTGGAAAAGCTTTTGGAAAGAACTCTATCCTTTTACGTCATCAGAGAATTCATACTGGTCAGAAACCCTACAAATGTAATGATTGTGGGAAAGCCTTTACTCAGAATGTAGCCCTTACTCGTCATGAGAGAATACATAGTGGAGCAAAGCCTTTTAAGTGTAATGAATGTGGGAAAGCTTTTAGGGATAACTCAACTGTGTTGGAACATCTAAAAATCCATACTGGTGAGAAACCATATCAGTGTAATGAATGTGGAAAAACCTTTAGGAAGAGCTCAACTCTTGTTAGTCATCAAAGAATGCATACAGGGGAGAAACCCTATCACTGCAGTAAATGTGGAAAATCTTTCAGGTATAGCTCATCCTTTGCTGGACATCAGAAAACTCATAGTGGAAATAAGCCCTATCAATGTAATGATTGTGGGAAAGTCTTTACAAAGAGCTCAACCCTTATTGGACATCAGAGAACTCATACTGGAGAAAAGCCCTATCACTGTAAGAAATGTGGGAAATCTTTCAGGCATAGCTCTGGCCTTGTTGAACATCAGAGGATCCATACTGGAGAAAAACCTTATGAATGTAATGTATGTGGGAAGGCTTTTCCCCAAAGTTCAGCCCTTAAACAACATAAGAAAATGCATAACAAAGAAAAAAAGCCATCAAATGTAATTAGTGTGGTAAATCATGCAGAAGTAGTTTATTCCTTTTGATACTCAAAGAAGAGACATTCAACAAATCACACATTTAAGAAAAATAGTCTGTGTACCTGTATCCTGGAGAACTTCCCACTTGTGAGGATGTTCACTGTAGTATGGTTTGTACTAGTGAAATATTTGAAGAACCTAAATGTCTATCAATTTGGAAATAGTTACTATAGAACATGATATAGGAAGTAAAAGGAATGAGGTAGAGCTTCTTATAGAGCCATAGAAATATCCCCATGATACCTCGTTCAAGTTAAAAAACCAAGTTGCAGAAAATCTACATATTGTGGTCTAATTTATATTTAAAAAAATAAAGCTATTTTTATTTGTTCATATATATCCTGTGTATTAAAAAACACCTGGTAAAAAAAAAAAAAAACACCTGGTAAAATAAAGTCCAAAAGCTGTTATCTTTGAGAAGAATGTTTTTATTGGTATGATGAAATTTTGACTTTTGGCTTTGTTTTTTGAAATATTTAAACATATATATTAATGAATCTTCTATAATTTAACATAGTTGTCTTAATGAATAAGAAAATTCAGGGGCATGTGGGTGGCTCAGTGATTGAGTGTCTGCATGTGGCTCAGGTTGTGATCCTGGGGTCCTGGGATCCAGTCCCACACCAGGCTCCCCAGAGGGAGCCTGCTTCTTCCTCTGCGTCTCTCCCTGTGTCTCTCGTGAATAAATATATAAAATCTTAAAAAAAAAATCAGAAGCCATAAAAATAAAAAACAAAGCAAAACAAAAAACACATAAAAACTAAAAACCCGGATCCCTGGGTGGCGCAGCGGTTTGGCGCCTGACTTTGGCCCAGGGCATGATCCCGGAGACCCGGGATCAAATCCCATATCGGGCTCCCGGTGCATGGAGCCTGCTTCTCCCTCTGCCTATGTCTCTGCCTCTCTCTCTCTCTCTCTCTTTCTGTGTGTGACTATCATAAATAAATAAAAATTAAAACAAAACAAAAAACTAAAAACCTTTGTAGGACCAGAGGCTTCACAGTGTTAAAATAAAAAGAACGATACTTGGATAGAATTAGTATTCACCATCATATATAGCAAATAATACTTAGAATATCTGAAGAGTGGGACAGCCCCGGTGGCTCCGCAGTTTAGTGCCACCTTCAGCCCAGGGCCTGATCCTGGAGACCTGGGATCGAGTCCCACACGTCGGGCTCCCTGCATGGAGCCTGCTTCTCCCTCTGCCTGTGTCTCTCTCTGCCTCTTTCTTTCTATCTCTCTCTCTCATGAATAAATAAATAAAATCTTTAAAAAAAGAATATCTGAAGAGTTTGTAAACATACATAAGAATAATATAAAAACCCGAGAGGCACCTTGGTGGGTCAGGTTGTGATCTGACACTTCATACTCAGTGGGGAGTTTGCTTTAGATTCTCTCTCCTCTCCCTCTTTGCCTTCCCCCTATGCACTTACTCTCTCTAAAATAAATAAATCTTTTAATAAAAGAATAATATAAATATCCCAGTGGATAAATGGTTTGAATATGAATATACAATATAATATCTGAATATACAATTGTCAGAAAAAAGGCGCAGCCTGGGTGGCTCAGCAGTTTAGTGCCACCTTCGGACTCCCTGCAAGAAGCAGTTTGATAACATGAATGTAAATCTAAATGTGTGCTCCATTTAACCCAGAAAAGCCACTCTCAAGGAAATATGAGCCTACAGAGATTGTATTACTCACTATAGAATTGTTTATAATAAAGCCCTGGAAAGAAGTGAGAAAAACACCTGAGAGAGTAAAATGTTTAAATAAATTATAGAACTTTCATAGACTGTTAACGCCAGTTAGTACTGGTAGATAATATGCCACCCAAACTTATTTACCATTTTGTTATGCTCAGAGATTTTTTAAAAAAGATTTTATTTGTTCATGAAAGACACACACACACACAGGCAGAGACACAGGCAGAGGGAGAAGCAAGCTCCATGCAGGGAGCCCCATGTGGGAATTGATTCTGGGACTCCAGGATCAAGCCCTGGGCTGAAGGCAGCGGTATACCGCTGAGCCGCCCAGGCTGCCCCTGCTAACAGATTTTGTATCAAGAATTCAGGAAGGGCACAGCAGGAACAACTTTTTAACTGTATGGTGTTGCTTGGGTCTCAGCTGGGAAAACTCAAGGCTGGAATTGACTTAACAGTTGCATGGTTGAATCATTTGAGGCTGTCACAGTACAGTAGCCATAAACGGCTAATGAGCAGTTAAAAAGAGGCTGGTCTGAATTTTGAAGATACGGTATCTTCAAAGAAGATACTAAAATATCCCCAATTTTTTTTTTTTACATTATTACATGTCAAAATGATATTTTGGATATATAGGTTAGGTTAAATATATTAAAATGATTTAGAATGATTTTAATGTGTCTGCTAGAAAATTTAGTTACATACGTGACTCACATTTTGGGATAAAAATATATTTCTTTTGGTTACTACTGATCTGAAAGCTTGCTCACAAGTTTGGTGGTTGTTGCTTTTGGCTAGGATCTTAGGTAGGGCCTTCTGTATGGAGGGCACTCTGGCAAGGCAGATGAAGCTGAAGTAGGTGTGGACCAAAGCAGTCCTAGGGTTCTCTGTGCAGAGTATCCTGGCAGGACAGCTGAAGCTGAAGAGAATATAAGCTGGGGTGTCTTGGGGTGCTCAGCACAGGGGACACCTTGGTAGGGTAGCTGGAGCCAAGGCAGAATATGGGCCTAGGGTTCATGGGGTGCTACTTAGAGGGGATACACTGGCAGGTGGATGGGACTGAAGTGGGTCTCTGGTTGGAGGTTTCCAGAGTGCTCTGTGAAGGGAGTGCCTTGGCAGGGTGACTTATAAGTGGAAATTTGTATCTTTTGACACCTATCACCCATTTAATCCCCCTTGTCATAGATTAATTTATTGTGGGTTTATTTCTGGGTTGTCATTTCTGTTCCACTGATCTGTGTGTCTCTTTTATGTCAATATACTGTTGATTATGATAGCTTGTATTATAGTTTGAAATCAGGGAGTATGTTGCCTCCAGCTTTGTTTTTATCAAGATTTCCTTGGCTCTTTGGGGTCTCTTTTGCGGTTCAGTACAAATTTTAGGATTGTTCTATTTCTGTGAAAAATGCCATCAGTTTTGACAGGGATTTCATTGATCATGTAGATTGCTTTGAGTAGTGTGTACATTTTAACAATATTAATTCTTCCATCTCTGAGCATGGAATATCTTTCATTTTTCTTATTTGATTTCTTTCATCAATGTCTTACAGTTTTTATTGTACACATTTCCACCCCCTTTTTAAAGTTTATTTCTAGATATTTTATTATTTTTGATGCAATTGTAAATGGGATTGTTTTCTTAATTTTTCTTTCTGATAGTTTGTTTTTAGTGTACAGAAATGCAACAGATTTTGTATATTTTCCATCCTCAACTTGACTGAATTCATTTGTTTTAACAGTTTTTTGGTAATTCTTTGGGTTTTCTTTTTTTTAGAGAGAGAGAGAGAGAGAGAGAGAGAGAGAGAGAGAGAGAATGTGTGCATGGTGGGGAAGGGGCAGAGGGAGATAGAGAGAAAGTCTTAAGCAGGCTCCATGCCCAATGCAGAGCCCAACACAGGGCTGGATCTCACAACCCTTAGATCATGACCTCAGCTGAAATCAAGAATTGTATGTTTTGTTTTTGAAGAATTTATTTATCCACGAGAGACACACAGAGAGAGGCAGAGACATAGGCAGAGGGAGAAGCAGGCTCCCTGAGGGGAGCCTGATGTGGGATTGATCCCAGAACCTCAGGATCATGATCTGAGCCAAAGGCAGATAGATGATCAACCACTGAGCCACCCAGGTGTCCCAAGAGCTATATGTTTAACTGACTGAACCACCTGGGCACTCCTGGGTCTTCTATATATAAAGATCATGTCATCTGCAAATAGTGCAGTTTTGCTTTTTCCTTTCTAATTTGAATGAAAATGCCTTTTATTTCTTTGTCTTGCCTAATTGCTCTGGCTGGGATTTTCATTACTACATTGAATAAAAGTGGGGATGGTGGGCATCCTTGTCTTATTTCTGATCTTAGAGGAAAGGCTTTCAGCTTTTTACCCTTGAGTATGATATTGGCCATGGACTTGTCGTATATGGTCTTTATTATGTTGAGGTGTGTTTCCTCTTATCTACTTTGTTGAGAATTTTTATTATGAACAGATACTGAATTTTGTTAAATGTTTTTCTGTATTGAGATGATCATAGGATTTTTATCTTTCCTTTGGTTAATATGGTGTGTCACACTGATAATTTGTGGGTGTCGAACCATCCTTGCATCCCTGGAATAAATCCCCTCTGTCATGGTGTATGATCTTTTAATGTATTGGTGAATTCAGTTTATGAATATATTGTTGAGGATTTTTCTATCTTTGTTCAGCAGGGATATTGACCTATAGTTTAGTTTTCTTGTGGTTTCCTTATCTGGTTTGGTATCAAGGTAATGCTTACTTCATAAAATGAGTTTGGAAGTGTTCCTTTTTTAATTTTTGAAAAGTTTAAGAAAGGCTTGTAGTTATCCTTTAAATGCTTGGTAAAATTCACCAGTGTACCATCTAATCCTGGACTTTTGTTTGTCAAGAGGTTTTTGATTACTGATTTAATCTCTAGTAATCAGTTTGTTCAGATTTTCTGTTTCTTTTTTTAAAATTTTTATTTATTTATGATAGTCACAGAGAGAGAGAGAGAGAGAGAGAGAGAGAGAGAGAGAGAGAGAGGCAGAGACACAGGCAGAGGGAGAAGCAGGCTCCATGCACCGGGAGCCCGACATGGGATTCGATCCCGGGTCTCCAGGATCGTGCCCTGGGCCAAAGGCAGGCGCCAAACCGCTGTGCCACCCAGGGATCCCTGATTTTCAGTTTCTTCATGATTCAGCCTTGGTGATTGTGTATTTCTAGAAATTTATCCATTCTTCTAAGCTGTCCAATTTGATGGCCTATAATTATTCATAGTAGATCTCTGTGATCCTTTGCATTTCTGTGGTATCAGTTAAATATCTCCTCCTTCATTTCTGATTTTTTAAATTTTTTAAATTTTTTATTTTTTATTTATGATAGGCACACAGTGAGAGAGAGAGAGGCAGAGACATAGGCAGAGGGAGAAGCAGGCTCCATGCACTGGGAGCCCGACATGGGATTCGATCCCGGGTCCCCAGGATCGCGCCCTGGGCCAAAGGCAGGCGCCAAACCACTGCACCACCCAGGGATCCCCATTTCTGATTTTGAATCCTCTTATCTTTTTCTCTTGGTGAGTTTTGCTCACCAAGGTTTGTCAGTTTTGTTTATCTTTTTAAAGAACAAACTTTTAGTTTCCTTTATCTTTTCTATTATCTTTTTAGTC